GGTTTTCGGCCGGTACAGGAGCCTGGTACGGGGGCCCCTCCGTAAGGAAAATTTGGGAGGTACGGGGGAGCCCGCAAGTTTCAGGAAGGTCAGTGTCGAACCCTGGCCCACACAATTTAGGGGAAAGGCCAAGAAGAAGAAAGAGGGAGGTAGGGGGATGGGGGGGTAGGGGGATGGGGGGGTAGGGGGATGGGGGGGTAGGCAGGGGGAGGAGGGGGTCCGTCTGGAGCACCCGGCGGATGGTGGAGGCGGCTTGCGGGTGGTGGCTAATGGAGAGGGGTATCGTGTACGGCAGCCTCGCATACCGGCTGGCTGGCTGCGGGAAGGCGGGGTGAAGGAGTACGGGAGGGCGGGAGGTGTAGAGCGCCCGGCGGAGGGGTTGGGTTGGGGGGGACGGGGGGAGGACAATCCCCTCAGCGTTGGTGGACCTTTCCCCTCCATACACCCCTCTTACACACTGGCCAGCGTTAGGCCCAGATCGATATATACATACATACATACATACATACATACATACATACATACATACATACATACATACATACATACATACATACATACATACATACATACATACATACATACATACATGCATACATACATACATACATACATACATACATACATACATACATACATACAGAGGCAGGCGGCTGGCAGAAGTTAAGGCCTGACTTCTGCTCCCAGTCGATCCAGTCGACCCGGGTTCAAATCCGCCTGCCAGCTCCTCGGGTGTTTGAGGAGTGATGAAATGGGAGGTGGCCCCCCATCATATGGACGGTGTAGGACGTGATAATATCAACTTGCGAGCTGACCAGGAACTAAGTTGATGCGCCGTTGATCCGCTAGATTTGGTTGGATGCTGGTGGTGAGTTGCCGAACCCAACGAATACATTCTGAAGTCGGATGGGGTGACGGATTAGGGTGCCCCTCTAGCAGGGGAGAGCAGGGACTGCCCCGGGAAAGGGGGCCGCTGGCGAAGTTAACCACCCTGTAACAACATACATACATACACACACATACATACATACATACATACATACATACATACATACATACATACATACATACATACATACATACATACATACATACATACATACATACACACACACCTGAAAATGGGTCCGGATGCCGATGCCTTGTACAGCCCTGCAGCAGCCGTTAAAGACGACCCAGGCAAAGTCGCCGCCGCCCCAGCCGACATCGACGAAAACAACGACAACGGCGGCGGCGGCCCTGCTACAGCTCCGGCTGCTGCCGACACGGCCGTAGCCGGCGCCGATGCAGGCACGCAGCCCCGTACACTCCCACAGCGCGCCGTCATCGCCGCCCTTCGCAGCAACTGCCCCAACGTCTGGCTCGGCTCCGCGGGGCTAAGCAGGCCGCCGCCGCCGCCGCCGCCGCCAGCCATCCCGCGGTCCCGCGACCATGCAGAAGGCGGCCCTGGTGACATTGCCGTAGACGCCGACGCTGTCGTCGCGCCGGCGACGCCTCCAGCGGCAGCAGCCCCGCCGGCGGGGCCGTCGAGCTCCGGGTCGTTGTCTGACGCCGTACTGGCGAAGGCCACGGAGAAGCGGTGGCGGCCTTCGGCAGCGGCGGCGGCGGCGGCGGGAGACAGGACTTGGGAGGGCGCGCTGGGACTGCACTGCAGATTGTCCACGTCGGCATCGGCGTCGACGTCGACGTCAACCGTGATCCTGTCGTCAAGCATTACCGCCACTGACGGAGACGTCGGCTCGCCCAGTGTACGCCATCTAGTCGCCGCCGCGGAGGCGGGGCCGCCACCGGAGGGCAGCCGCTGATGATACGACCGCCGTGGCGGCGGCGGCGGCGGCGGCGGCGGCGCCGTCGTCATCGTCGTCGTCGGTCCCGCTAGAGGACCCCTCCAAAAGCACGGTGCCGGAGCGGAGGCGGGCTTATAGGCACAAGCGTTATGGAGCAGCGGCGGCGGCGGCGGCGGCTTCCGAAAGCACGGTACGGAGGGCGTGCTTCGCTGCAGCAGCAGGCGATCCGCTTCCGTCGCCGCCAGGTCGTTATCTTGGCACCGGGACAAGATTGAACCTCCCAACGGGTCCGCCGCCGACAAACTCACCGACTGTCGCGGCAGCGGTAGCGGCAGCGGCGGTGACGGCGGCGGCAGTGGCGGTGACGGCGGCGGCGGGAACACCGCCGCCGCTGGCTGCGGCCACTGCGTCACGTACGT